ACACTCCATTATCAAAAATAAATTGTGTGTTGGTGGCTACTTCCCTGAGGTATTTTTGATACACTATTGGCTTTAGCAGCTCACTGTGGGTACAACTAGAAGAAAGTTCTAGCATTTGAAAACATTTTTTCTCCCTTCTCCATCCTAACCTCCTATTACATACATATTTATATCATGCAGCGTTTAATAAATATACTCACCTACTCAGCAGAACCAAGTTGGGAAGCTTTCCATGGCTAGTGGGAAAGCCCAACTCAAGCATTTGTCCCTAGTTTAAGTATTATTTAACATATAGTCTATCAATGTGACTTGCCAAGTGTTCTGATGCAATGTTTTCTATAGTTCACAGAGACAGCTCCTGTGCCTCTATCATTGTTATCAGTTTCCCCAGGTAGAATGAAAATACAAGTCATCAAATTTATCCTGCTACTGCTTCAGTAACTCTTTAACAGTTGCAAAAACATGAGCTAGAGAACTGTGTGTAAGAGAGACTGGCCCAAATATTTGAAACGATAGAAGAAAATCCCCCCTCCACCTGCAAAAGTGGACAACCTGAGGAGAAAGCACCCTTCTCCCTCATTTGCTGCAGATGGAAATCTGGAGAGCAAAAGAAGTGTCAAGCTGCCTTTCCAAAAGTCAGGAAGAGACAGACATAAGTTCAGGACACTACTTAGCCTTCAACAAATGTACAATAAGCAACATCTGAGCAGACTGAAAATAGTGATTGGAGTCCTAGCACCTTCCCTGTTTTTAGCGTTTGGAAGCTAGTGAGGATGAACTTCCCATCACTGTATTCCACTTGGACCTCAGTAGAGGCACTCTACACTTACTGGTCATACTGGCCTTTGACTGGTCGGCTTCTACTATAATATAGGGAAAAAATTCAAGATGACAGTATTGATTATGAGATTTTGAGGTCTGAATATTCACAATCTGGTCACAGCTAGGCAAAGAAATTACGATTAAAGAATGTTTTTCCCCCATTAAATTGCTCATGTCTCAGCTTTCATTCTGAAAAAATATCATTAAGCCACAGTCAATCAGCCAAAAATTGACACTGTTTAATTTTGTGCGTTTAGGATCATCAGAAGTGAATCCCAGAATACTAGTGCTGCTTTCCACCCTACAAGACTTGCAAACAGCTCTAATAATAGATAGTTACTAAAGTTGGAAAAAAAAAAAAAAAAATATATATATATATATATAAAATCAGCGCTTAAAAATTATATCTATTTACACAAGTTTAAAAGTTGATCACATACAGCTCACTGAATGCAGCCATATGAATTCTACACCCATTGCACAAATTGAGCTCACAAATCAATGTATAAGAACATTACTGGCAATGGTCTCGCTCGTGGCACAAGTTTTACACCTCAAAAAAACTAACAAAACATTATTTGATACAATATACAATGTACCCAAATCTGTTCCCTTAAATCATTGCAACTCAAACTTTTCTTGTAACTGAATGCAGTTACATAAGCATACTTCAAAGCAACAGTTGCCTGCTGGTGACTGTGGTCTATCAAATGCAGAAATTCTAGGGTTTTGGTCACAGACATCTAAATAGCTTTTGCTAAAAAGATTTTGGGGGTTGTTCAATTCGTTACGTATGTAACAACCAATGTTTACAGATCGCTGGGAGCAAACCTGCCCGAAAGAGCCAAAAGAAGCCCGAAATGAGACTCTAGCACTAGAATTCTTCAAAAATTTTTATTTTCTCCAAGTACCAAAGCAACTATTCAACTCCATCATTACTCTTCAGACTTGTCACTGTGAAGTGCATAAAAGCAGGGCTGCTAGCACTCACATTTGCAGACATCAAACGGCTAAAAAAAAAAAAAAAATTGTTTTAAATAAAGCATTAGCATTTGGAGGGGTGAAAATTTACCCTAAGAGCAAACAGAAGAAAAAAGTTGGATCAACTTCATGCAACCTTTCTGAAGCAGTGTCACTTTCATTACCATAGTAAAATAAAACCACATGCAATGTAAACACAATAATAGCACATATCAGGTCGGTAGCATTTTTGTACATTAAATTTGAAGGGACTAAACTAATCTTAAAGATATATGAAGGACAAAATGTATTGAAGGAAAGGCCAATGAAAGGGATAAAGTGAATCAGAAGATGGCGAAAGGGACAATTATGTTATGAAGCCGAGATAGAGAACAAGGCAAAGGGAGTCCATTCAAAACAGTAAAATGTTCTCTGAACGGCTAAAGGTCCTTGCTTTGGCTGCTCCTGCAACAGCTACTACTGGCAGTGATGTTAATATACAATTTGGCAGAGTTCTGGAAGAAATTATTTATAACAACAAGTGACTGTGCACAGGCAAGCTGAACTTAAGTTGAACAGCCATGCTCTACACATTTTGGGAAAGGTGGGGTTAAGAATGTTATTTGCCTACTTAAGCAACTGTTATCACCACCACCCTTTCTAAATGGCTCTCCATCCAATTTCCCAGGTGATACACAGCTTCTCTCCATAATCTCAGTGCATTTGGAGATGTAGCAGATGTTATGTATCAAAGATCTAAGTTTATTTTTAAGCTATTTACTTATTACATTAAACATTTTGCATATCAGAGAAATTGTTTATACAAATGCAGAACATATGCTGATAATCCCAAAGCAATTTTGATGACTATTGTTTATCAAGGAACAACAGAAGTATTACCCTACTTAAATAAGTATCCCCGTGTTCAAGAATTTTCCTATTCTTATTTTCTTCAATATAGGTAAAAACCATACAAAAGTATGTCTGAAATCATTTTCCAGGACTGCTTCAAGAACGTTACAGAGCAATCCAGGAAAATAATAAAAATATTTTTTGCATAATCTGTGAGAGAGAAAGCCCAGCTAACTTGAGGGTCATTCATATAACAATAAAAGTAGAGACAGGCAGAATGATGTAATACAAAGACACCTGGAAGATATTCGGCATCAGTCAAAGACAGTTCTTATATAGACCTGGCATTACAGCTTGTCAACAGTGAATAGGTGACAAAGGCACTGCAAAAAAAACAAAAACCCCAAAGTTGGTGCTAAATAGACACTTAATTTGAATGGAAACTAAATCCTAAACTGCCAGGTAAGCTCTGTGCATTTTGGAGACCAAGCAAAAAGCAAGAGATGTCCATTTTCAACTATAAGAAAAACTCCTCGAGGCAGAGACTTCTCATTACTGGTCTGTAAAATGCCATATACATGGCACTGCATTTATAATAATAACAACAACAATCCAACATAAGAATGAGTAGATTTTCCTAGAAAACTCAAATCGTGCTTAACTTTGGAAATAAAATGATTGTGGAAGAAAAAAGTGGGGGTGAAGGGCAGTGGAAAAGAAAAACTATCACAGTAAGTTGTGGAATTGCCATCCCTGGACATCTTTAAGAGCAAGTTAGACCTACCCTTGGACTAGGATGGTTTAGTCGGGGGGTTGGACTAGATTACCTCCTGAGGTCCTTTCCAACCCCCTGCTATTCTATGATCCAGTGAATTATCAAAGACTGAATTTGGAGCTTTCACATTCTTAGCACTATTTCTAGTGCACTTTGGTAACTGCTGGCACAAAATTACCATTCAAACAGAGTTTCTCCACTGTTCCCTGTTATGTCACAGAGTATGTGCAAAACAAATTTTACTAACAAAAAAAAGTATGGATGCACTTAATGCAACTGTAATGCAGTATTTCCAGCAACTCCACGCATGACTGCAAAGGCTGCTTAGATACATTAGCATTAGTGTTACAATGAATACAAAAAAAAAAAAAGACCACATTTCATTACATGCTGCTTAGTTTGATTGGTAGAAGACTTTATAGCACTGTTTGTTATAAATATGTATTAGAATACTTCTCTGCTTCCGCAAAACATAATAGAAGAGGAACAAGAGGGGAGAAAAACCACCAACCAATTCCACATTACAATTAGTTATAATTAGCTCTCTGTAGTAGCACTGGTCGGGTGTACTTTACTGTAGTAGCGCTTCTGTTCTATGTTGATGCAGATAAAGTAATTACATTATTCCTGAATGGCATGTTTGGTGCATGAGAGCAATAAAAGCCCTCATTAGAAACAGGGAATGTCAAGGAAAAACAAAACCACACGGCTAACTGCTTTACGTTATTCCACATTCAAGGTTGTTTCTGGCCACAGAAACAAGAAACATCTGCTTTTAGTAATTCTTTACAGTGAACTCAAAAAACTGATGATAATCTTTCACTATCATATCCTACACTTCCATTCCCTTCCAGAGAGGAACTTAAATCCAGCCAAAATGAGGAACATTTATAAAAGTGAGAGAGGTGTTTATCTACCCCATAAATATTCTTGAGTTAAAAAAAAAAAAAAAAGTATGTGTGCAGCTATATAAAGTGAGCATATATAAAGCATCCCTAGCCAATTACAAGTAAGTCCAGAAAAAATAAAATTACTTGGCACTGATCAGAAGAACATGCTCCAGGACACGCCAAAGCTGTGTATCAGGATATTTTTATATCTACGCAGCAGATCGCTAGTTTATTACTTTTCATTATCTGTCCTTCAAATTTGTTCTAAAGAAAGAATTTTTAGGAATTGGAATAATGTGAAAGTTTCTTGTTGAATCAGTCTCAAATCACCACAGTAGATGAATGTGGGTTTTCAGAAAGACGAAGTCTGCAATTTTCAAAATGTTCTTATAAGCCGATGAACTACAAGTACAGACTGAAATGGGTTTCCTGGAGAGGTGTTCTTTTAAGTGGTGCCAGACACAATGTCTTACATCTGAGTAGGGTATATTCAAAAAGAAAAACCAAGTTAAATCAAAGTAAGGTAAAGTTCACAAACACTGTGGGTAGAAAAGGACTATGAAATGCAATGATAGCAAAGACTGTAAAGAACAGAGTAACATTCTGGTTTTCAGGTGGATAACTGGTACTTTTGTTGTAAATTATTAACTATTCTAACATCTAAGTAAAGCACTTTGATAAAGTCTTACATTTAAACTCACCTGATTCATTTTGAATTCCTGTTGTGTTCTGAAAAGATACACACAACAAAGAAACTTCTTTGATTACATGAGCCCTAAAAAGAAAAACAGACAATTGTAATACGTACCTACCTACAGATTTACAGTGATTTGAAACTACACATAGATTGGTGGAGTTCTTTTTAAAAAGGGGATTTTCAAATGGCAGTGTATTACTTTATACCCGTGGGGGCGGGGGCAGCAACCTTTTCTGGCAGGTGCGCCACAAACTAAGCCCTTAACCCACCTGGAGTGCCACTCAAATCCTTTCCCGTGCCCTGTGTGCTGTTCTGCTTTTTGCTCCCTGCTCAATATGCTGCGCTGCCTTTTGCTCCCTGCCCTGTACTGCCAGCCTGACCTGTTGCTCTTCTTTCTGTTCCCTGTCCTGTCATACACACAAGCTGCCCTAGCCACTTGTGGCACACGTGCCATGGGTTGGCCACCCCTGCTTTAGACCATATTTGCTTCAGTCTACAGCACTGCCAATGCAATTGAATGAAATTTCGTCTTCAAAACAAGGAAGAGATTTCTATCATGATTTTTTTTTCTATTGCCCCATCTTAAACTGAGACAAGAATATTCCAATAACCGGCATCAACTAAATAACTAAAAACAAATCAATTGTGGTAACATTTAGCAATGCAAAGCGCTGCTAAAGACTTGGACTGACGCAGAGATTTAATTCAGCCCAGTCATGATGCTTGCCCCCGATATGTTCACAGCAGTTTGAAAGGACTTAGCTGCACAGCTCTCAATAATGGCAAGAATCATGCAATTAAGTCTTTACTCACCAACTCTAAAACAAGGAGGTTTTACTTAAAATTTAGTATAGTATGCATTGAAGTACTCAAAACCAGTTTACTGCATGCTAGCATTTTTAATAAAAAAAGGTCTGTGATTTGAAAGGGCCTGCTTCCATAAATATTCCAGATAGAGATTGAAACCTCTATGCATGTAACTATAGTCATCAGGAGAACACTACACCTGAGAGTTAGCAATTTGCTATGCTTTTTATGCACAAGGAATTATTGTTGGAAGTTGCAACACAACTGTTACACTGATATTAGGCAGTAAATTAAATGTACTATACAGTATCACCTCTCTCAGAGATTCAGTGTCTAACAAAAAATTCTCCTGGATAAGTAAACCTCTTGTAGTGTTCTGTTCCACTTTGAATAACTTATTTTCACCTACACAGCATTTAACAAACCTGTGTTTACAGAAATAAGCTGATAAACATACATTTATGACCCAATCTTGCAACTGGCTCCACATATGGAATGATCTACCCATGTAGAACCAGTTACAGATGAGGAACTCAACTGGAATCATTTCGGTACATGGGAAGAGGGAATACCTTTTTAGAACATAATTATGATGTTCTGAATATGTCTGATGGATGTGCTGAAGTAAGTCAGTTCAAAATAGTACTATACATTTCAGTCCCAATATATTCACCATCCTACCTAGAGCCTCAAATGTGACTTTCCAAATTAGCAGCACCAATGAAATCCAAAAAAGCATAATGCTCAAAACTTTCTACTTCTATTTTCAATAAGTTGTGAAATGGGAAATATTTTGATGGCTCCTCCCACATATTTCCATCCTCAGCATGGATACCTTCACTCCTCACGCTCTCTCTTATGTAATGCACTTTTTACATTAGATAAAAGATCCCTGAAATACAATGCATGGACTCCTGTTGGTTTGCTGAGCATATGCTAGCACTCTGCTGAAAGCAAGCTGATCATATGGGGTAATTAAATAAAAAGCAGAAGTAGACAGTATGACAAACTTCTCTCCTGAGATGTGGCTGGCATCATGAAAAAGTTGAGCGATTTTTAGCAACGCTGCAATTTAAGCCCGTATTCATTGCTGAACTGGATTACATATCAATATCCATGTCATTTTAGAGTTGAAATATTACGGACACTAATACTGTACAGGCATTCGAAAATTTTGTAGCCTGAAAGAGAAATGTATTTTTAGTACAATAAATGTCTTGGTTATGCTCTGTTGAGCTTCATATCCAAAAGAAATTACTGATGGGAAGAATATAAATGCAATTGAGTTGTATTATGTTCAGAAGACAACTTGGCATTTTTTCTATATTTTTGAGACATCTGGACACAGTAATACTTGAGGAATTTCACTGAAATACAATACTGAAAGCACAGGGAACATCTTTTGCAATGTTTTACCTAGAACTACAGACAAATTATTGCAAACAATGAGGATGAAAAACATTTCCTGAAAAATGCGAATGTACAATGTCACCACTACTCTACCACTGAACATTTGCTATTTGACACAGACTAACAAGCAGCACAAAATGTATACACTGAGGGGTAAGAGCTACAGGAAAACTAACAGGTTAAAACATGGAATAAGGCATTTATTAAAAAAAAAAACCCCAAGCATCCTTATCTATGTAATTAAGGCAGTTATAGACAGACTCCGGAAATGGAGAGAACTGTAAACACTCAATTCACTACACCTAAATTACACCATTTAATTTTTTTCATTTTGTTCTGTTTGAATAATGAAGACAGCTTGATTGTTCTACTTCTCACATTCTTCTTCAGTACTGAGATATAGATTTTAACCAACATAAAATAGATTTTAAATCTGACAACTTCCTCCACCTCCCAAAGAAATCAAGTATTTAAAGACTGTATAAAACTTTTCTTTTTTTTTAGTTCAACAAAATATTAAAAGTCTTAGGTAAACTCCCTGAAAGCATCTCCAACACAAGAAAGAGAAGGGAATTTCATTTAACTCTTTCAAAAAAATAGATATCTATTTTAGATATATATATCTAAAAATAAGTCTCATATATATATAGTTGGGGAGAGTTTTCTAACGTGAACAGTGCTAGAGGCTAATTAAAAAATTGCCTTAAGTCCAAAGTAAAGAGCTTGTTGCTTGTAAGACAGAATTAGAGGAGAAATTACATTAAGCTTAAAGTACAAAGTTAGCCATGACCTGTTTTCATCCAGAAGTCAATTCAAAATTCACATTTCATTTGAGAATGTTGTGCAGACTTTTGTTACAAGTCATGCTTAAGTACCATAACTGAAACGGATTTCAGATTCTTTTTTTTTCAATTTATTTTCCCACTTCAGTTCCTTGCAAAGAGCAAGTTTCACAGTTCAATTGTTAATTGCATGAGAAAATCTTCATCATAAAGATAGTTAGCTGGCTTCTTTATACCCAAAAAATGTACAGTGTCAAAAGAAATTTTTTTTTCAACATTAGCAATTTCTAGAAGGTAGTCAAATAGATCAGAGAGAGAAAGAGAGAGAACGTTGAATAAAATAAAAGACTAAGACCCCGACTCTGGAAACACTTGGGCATCGCAATAGTACTGTCCATGTCTGAGGTGCCAATGAGCAAACTCGGGCTACACCAATGTAAAGTTACTCACACAAGTAATTGTTTGCGAGCAGTCAGGACCTATTTATATAATAAGAATTTTAAAATATGTCTAA